ACGGGATATGCACCCGCTATCCCTATCCTTTCCCTCTGGGGACGCGCCGGACGTTTCGCCTCCCTGGGTAGACTAGGACTCTTTACCAGCAAAAGGATGGGCCTACGAGCGGTCAAAACCCAGGCACGCGAACACCACGGGCATCTTGGTCCATGATTGAGTCTCAGCAAGGCTGACCCTTGCCGGATCCCCGCTAACGGAATACCAGGACTCCAATCAAGCAAACCAGTTAGCAAAACACCAAATCTCACAGCCATACCCACGAAGAGTCCGAATCACCCCCTAGGTGATTCTATCCGAATCACCCAGGGGCTACACCCACCGGGTGTGCTCACGCGCACCCGCTGGCAAGTCAAAAAAGCCTCCGAAGGAGTGTTCCACTCCTCCGTAGGCTCAGGGGCTACACCCACCGGGTGCGCTCGCGCGCATCTACTAGCAAGTCGAGAAAAGCCTCCGAAGGAGTATTCCACTCCTCCGCAGGCTCAGGGGATACACCTGCTGGCAAGTCGAAAAAAGCCTCCGAAGGAGTGTTCCACTCCTCCGCAGGCTCGGGGACTACACCCACCGGGTGCGCTCGCGCGCACCCACTAGCAAGTCGAAAAAAACCTCTGAAGGAGTGTTCCACTCCTCCGTAGGCTCGGGGGCTACACCCACCGGGTGCACTCGCGCGCACCCGCTGTCAAGTCGAAAAAAGCCTCCGAAGGAGTGTTCCACTCCTCCGCAGGCTCAGGGGCTACACCCACCGGGTGCGCTCGCGCGCACCCACTGGCAAGTTGAAAATTCCCCTAGGCGATTCTACCCGAATCACCAGGGGGCTCGGGGGCTCGGGGGCTACTGTCGGGGACCTAATACTAGGGTACCCTAAAAGGAGGAGCTGATAACCCTCGATGTTGATACATTCGAACAAGACAAGAGCATGACTACACCTCTTTCCCGACGTCTGAGGGTTAACTCCATCTCGTCTGACCCCTGGGGGTTGGCTCCGCCTCGTCTGACCCCCGAGGGTTGGCTCCGCCTCGCCCGATCCCTGAGGGTGACTCCGCCTCGCCCGACGTCTGAGGGCCGGTTCCGCCTCGCCCAATATCTGAGGGCCGGTTCCGCCTCGCCCAACGTCTAAGGGCTAGCTCCGCCTCGCCTGACATTTGAGGGCCAGCTCCGCCTCGCTCAAGGTCTGAGGGCCGGTTTCGCCTTGCCCGACGTCTGAGGGCTGACTCCGTCTCACCCGAGGTCTGAGGGCTCGCTTTGCCTCACTCGATGTCTGAGGATTAGCTCCGCCTCACCCGAGGTCTGAGGGCTGACTCGTCTACGCGCAGCCCCTTCATAACTACGCGCGCGGATAAGGCAGAGCACTCAAGTCAACCACAATACCAAGAACCGTACCCTGCACACTTGCAGGAAAGTACCGTCAGGATATGACAAGACAGGCGCTTTAAGCCCTTCCAGGCATGTTAGACCCCGAATAGTGTTGTAGGCGCCGACATTTGTCTTACAGTGTTGTGGGCGCCGCCATTTGCCCTCGGGTGCGGATCCTGACGGAAGCATATGACAACCACTACGGTTCAAGAGGAAACTCACATCATCTACAGTAACAGATGTACGGTCACTGTGCCACCTGCTCCTCGTAGGATCGCGGATCAGCACCCTGGTCCGTCGCGCCGCCCGTCGTGGCGGGATGGGACGTGATCACTTGCTAGCAAGGCCAGAACAGGGCATCATCAGTGGTCAGACGCCCAGCGCGGCCCTATCAGGATCAACGGACATGCACCCAGCATGGAGCTATCCCTGGCACCATCTGCCGTGTCAGCGGGACTCGCTCAGAGGAAAAGGAAGACCCGGCATCTTTGAAGAACTTCCTTGGCCTCTGGTTTTTCTTCCTTTTCCCATCTGTAATCCCTGTTTCCCCTTAGTCTATAAAAGAGAAGGCAGGGCACCCCACTAAGGGGATCAAAAAAACACACCACACATCACATCACACACGGCTGAGCAGCAACCAAGCTCTCAGCGCCCACTCAACCTCTCCATCAGAGACTTGGGACATGTCCCTCTCTCGTCCGTTTGTAACCCCTACTACGAACTTTTCAGTGCTAATAACATGAGTCACAGCCACGAACTGGACGTAGGGACATTCTGCCTGAACCAGTATAAATCTTGTGTCTTTTAGTACACCATCCGGGTCAGACACGCAATAATACAAATTTACCCGTTCGTGTTTACTCGAAACACCGACATCATGTAAGCAGCTCTAAGCAATATTATTAGCCTCCTCATGTAAGCAGTTTTGAGCAATATTAGTCATAGGATTATAGATCACATAGTTGACCCGAATTGGGATGACTTGGAGCCTTCCACTGGATGAGAAGCCATGTGGCTTTCTTGATTAGTAATAATTCCAGAACTGTAGTAAAACTGTGCAGACAGCCTGCGTCAAAGCTTATGTGTAAACCAATATTTACGTAGATAGTAGGTAACATGCCCACCTTTGTAAATGAAAATCAAGAAATAAAGGAAAAACAACCCAGCAAGCTAGCCCACGGTGTCCGCCGCGGAGCCTGCCATGGTGGCCATCGCAATGCACACTTTGACAATGGGTGTGGCTGACCTAGATTTGCATGCTTGGGGAGTGGAGCTCCAACAAGGATTGGAATCTCCACACTTGGGGAGTGGGACACCATCGACGACCCAGATTTGCATGCTGAGAGAGAAGCAATGCCACCGACTTGGATCTCCACATTTGGGAAGATGGGCGTCGCTACCTCCACCTAGGCCTGCACCGTCGCCTCCTCACCCCAGCCCACCGCCTCTTTGCATCGAGCTCGGCCAACATACTGCAGTGCTCACTAGGCCATGGTAGGGACTGTCATGCATGCTTGGTTGTGGTGGGGAGCACCACACGTGCTTGACTGGGGTGGGGTACGAAGGGGGGGGGGGAATCTGGTAAAACTATCGAGGTATGTAGGGATCGGAGAGAAGTATCTGTGGCAACTGGTGGGGAGGGAGAGTAGATAGGGTTTTTCTTACCCTGTACTATGTACTCTGAGGCGAGTAGTGGACCAAGACCGGTTGGGCCTAATTTAACGGAGATGAGCCTCTTAATAGATCTTTCTTAGAAATTGGCTCATATTTAACGGAGGCGAGTAGCGGACTAGTGAAGAGGGCCGACCTCAATTAACTTATTCTGACACCTGGTAGATTACTTGGTGTCCTTAAATAGGCCAACTGCCTCTGAAAATTATTGTTTATTTTTTGATAGGGACACTAACCACCTCTGTAAACCAAAATAGCTATCTCCTAGCATCTTTTGTGTAGTAGTACGAAGAGGGCAGATAAATCGGACCACTAAAACAAAATCTTAGGCTAGAACTAAAGAAACTCGATAAACATAAACATATATGATATATAGTGTTTCACCCACCTGCAATATAGGTTCTCACAAGTAGGGTCTATCATATAAACCCTTATTAAACAACTCCAGAATGGTAAATCATAAGCATAAATGTGATAAAAAAAGTAATGAGTACAAAAGGTACAAATCTTGGCTTGACGATTCCCTTGTTATTTTGGGTAAGGAGTCACCCATGATACATATTGAAGATTCCCTCGGTACCGTAGGTAAAGAGTCACTACGACTTTACAGGTAATGGTCTTTGGCTCACAATGAATTTGATGTTGCCTTGACTACAGGGCTTTGTGACCAATAAGGAGCCTCCTCACCCCAAGTCATTGCTACAGCTCTCTATACCAGGTCGCAAGGTCAACATGCCGGTGAGCCACCAAGGCCATAGGTGTCGACACCAAGATGACAAGAGTGGCTAATAATTCCTTGATCCAGCAACGACACCTTGACTTCCCACTCCAGTCTAAGCCTTTACCACTAACCTCTCCCTAATCCCATGCTAATGTCTTTAATTTGATCATTTAGCACTCCTGAATGGCGTAGCAGCTCCAGTCTTCTGTAGCAGGCAAGCACCCAAAATGATTGCGCAAATGGGGTATAAATAGGGTGAAGGACCGAGAAAGGCGATCAGGGGGTGAATGGGAGCCTAATCAAAACTTCTTTCGATTCTAGCCACTATCCCAACTCACGCTAAGGTTAGTCTCACACTCAACCGAAGCCTAATAATCTTCTGACAATCACACATCATCAACTCGACACACATGGGCACATATCAACCATGTGTTCACATAGGGAAAACCACCCCAACTAGCCATTGGCTAATAGCTAATAAGAATTGCATGAATTGGATGATCTGACCACGAAAAGGTCAGTACATTTTTCTCTATAACTAATCGTTACAATCTCCTCCACACTATGCAGTACTCCGGTGCTTAGTTTTCTCACTAGAACTTCCAGTGCACCTCTCTGGATTTTTTTGCGGACATGGGAGATCCCTACCTATTTTTGTATTATATTAGCAAAATAGAGTATGTACAAGGTACAAGACCATAGGTGTAAAGGAAAAACCTAATGGACTACTCCACAAACTATGTTTTAAGTTCATAAACTATGTTTTAAGTTCTCAGAGTTTTGAATTTCAACTTTTTTTAATTTTTCAAACGACCTCAGATGGAGACACAATGTAAACCAAAGCTATAGTACTGAGCGCTTTTTAAGGTTTCCTAGAGGTTTTTGGACCCTAAGGATATTCTTTTTTGTGGTAGTGGTAGAAAAAGCTCTGTCTTGAACAACTTCTTTCAACCTTGTAAAGAAAGGGTGCCCCAGTCAAAGATGATTGCATTTTGATGAGTCCAATTGATCCAGCAAGCAACAATTACATTTTCTTGAAAAAGGTGGTTACCTAAGACCAAATAAACGACATGTGAGCTAAACCACTCAAAAAGTATAATTCAGAATGAAACAGGAAATACAACAAGTGAATCCATGAACAACAAGGAAAACCTCGATTTCAATGTATTTATTGGGACCCTCAATCTCCCATGACTTTCCTTAGAAGAAGATAATTGAATTAAGAATTAAGTTTAATTTTCTCAATGTATTCTAGGTACCTCATTGTACTTGATGACATCGAGGAGCGACAGTGGGACAATATAAAGTTTATCTTCCCCAAAGAGAGAAGAAGCAGAATAATAGTGACAACGACAAACCAGGCGGTAGCTAATCTCTGCAGCAAGCATGGTAGGGACGGCTATGTGTACAATATGAGACCTCTTGAGAAGACACATTCCAAGGAGTTGCTAGACGCTATCTTGAAGGATAATTTAGCTGTATCTGACCAGAATTTGGCACAAATTGTGGAGAAGTTTGATGGCCACCCACATTCTCTTTTAAGCGTGGCAAAATATTTGCTAAGGAAAGAAGAGTTTCCAGGAACCTTTTGGGAAGATTTAGGTGATCGTATGAACGATCCGGACGAGCATGCTTTCACTGAGCTGCAACGAGTTCTGACAAAACACTTCAAAAGCCTGCGAGGTCGGCACAATGTCAATCTCAAGATCCTGTTATTGTACATGTGTGTGTTCCCAAATACACATCCCGTAGGGAGGAGCAGACTGATAAGGCGATGGTTAACCGAAGGATATGTGCAAGATGCTGATCCACGCAGAGCCCTGCATGTCGCAGATGATAACTTGGACAAACTAATTGAACTAAATATAGTTCGGCGAATCGACCCAAGCAAGAATGCAAAAGTGAAGACCTGCAGAGCTCATGGCATCATGCACGAGTTCCTGCTGTATATTGCCAGGTCGATTAATTTCATTACAGATCTTGATGATCGACAGAGAAGAAACTACCGTCACCTCTTTCTGGTGGGGAGGTCTTCAATTGGTGGGGTATCAAATGTTAGTGGCACATCTAGCGATGAGAAGGAGGAACTCCGCGCCCATTCTCTTACTGTATGTGGGACTGCAGGCAAAGCTGCTGGGTATTTCCCCAAGTGTGAACTACTGCGAGTCTTGGATCTTGAAGAGTGCAGCGAGCTGGAGGATGAACATACAGTTGACATACACATGCTGTGGCATCTCAAATATCTGAGCCTTGGGGCGAAAATTACAAAAGTGCCAAGGGATATTGAGAAATTGCATTGCTTAGAGACTCTTGACTTGAGGAAGACCCAGATAGAGGTCCTGCCTGTGGGAATCATCAAGCTTCCACACCTAGCTCACCTGTTGGGAAAGTTCAAGCTTGAACAGATGAACTGGGAGAATATTAAAGCAGACAAATTTTTGCCACTGAGGAGCAATTTGCGGACACTGACAGGATTTCTCACAGATGACGACCCGGGATTTCCGAAGCTAATGGTTCATATGAAAGAGTTAGATAAAGTTAAGATATGGTGCAATTCCAATAGAGATAATGCTTCCACCCCACCAAGCCAAAATTTTGTTGGATCTAATGCTTCCACACCGGATTCCCCACCAAGTGAAAATTCCGTTGGACCTAATGCTTCCACATCAGATTCCACACCTAGTGAGTGCTTCACCTTCCTTTTGACAGCGATCATGTTTTTCATTCAGAGCCGATTGGAGACACCTGGAGTTGACCATTGTCTTTCACTAGATCTTGGTAATTCCTCAAAAGACATCCTAACTTCTTTACAGAACTCTTTACAGCTCTCTAGAGACCATTCTCCTGAGAGCTCACGAGATGAGATCTCATGTGCCTATCTCAGCTCCCTAAAACTAAATGGAGAGCTGCACGGTCTGACACAGATTATATCATTGGTGGGTGGCCTCAAAGAGCTCTGCCTTTCATCGACCAATGGTCTGACACTTGACGAGGTATCAAACCTGACAAAACTGGAAGCCTTGGAGTACCTCAAATTGGTTAATATCAGCCTTGTAGTCATCACAAGTGATGATTTCAAAAACCTGCGACGCCTATGCCTTGTGGAATGTAAAGGCCTCCCCATAATTGAAAATGGAGCTTTGAGTAATCTTCTCTCACTTCGAATTCTCAATAAAGATCTAAAAGGCCTATCCAACATCGAAATAGAAAATCTCACAAGACTCCAAGAAATCGGTCTTCATTCTGATGTCATGCAGAAAACAAAAACGGATTGGGAAGATGCAGCTAAGAAGCATCCAAGAAGGCCAAGGCTTTTGTTCTTTAAGATGGTTTACTCTGCTGGAAGACCACCTGATGCGGGATCATCATCTGCCATGCCGGAGGAGCAAAAAATCCATACTGATGTTCAATCGATGGTAGAGGTGGAAGATGTGCTCACTGCTCAAGAAAACAAGGATGACATCTCTTCAGATTCTCAAAATCCTAATACATGGGCTGCTGATGTTCATGGAAAGATGAAACAACTCGGTCATTACACTGCTGATAAAGATGTAGAAGGTCAAAATGAGAAGAGCCATAACGGCCTTACAGCCAAGCAGACGAAGAAGAAAAGCGAGGGTTGGCCATTAAAGATGTGGCGGAAGATGGCTGTGGCTCTAAGAAAATCCACTGTTACTGCAGCTGTAGATAATTCCCATGCGAAAGGAAAGGTGAGTTTAATTTCCTTTCAGTTTTTGCTTTAATAATAACACTATTACTAGAACTAATCCATTAACCCATGCTCGGCACATGCTACAATCAAGACATAAGTATTAAAGTTCTAGCAAAGTTTAGTTTCATTCGTTCTGTTCAGTTTCTAACAAAATACTTACATAACTACAATACAATGTGACTTCTATCCGATTGTGACAAACATAAAAGTAACCCATAATTCATTTATCATCTATATTCCCTGTTTCCCTATTTGTATCACATATATGTGTGCCTTTAAGATGTGGTCAGGTGAAATCTTAACTGCAGTTACTATTAAAACACGATTTCTAGATATACCGTATATCTAGATATACATATACATACCTCTTTTGTTCTAGAGGTGGTTCGAAAGCCATCTGCCCTTACAATCTCCCAGCAGTTAGTAAGGTGAACTGCCCGTGCAATTGTTGTAATTTCCAGGGGCAAACAGTATTCCCAATCGCCTCTAAAAATAGGGGTATTTCTTGATGTGGACCATTAGGTCGACAGCGATTTTCGAACCATTTCCTAAAAATAGGGGTATTTCTTGATGTGGACCATTAAGTGAGTGGGGGGCCAGTGGTGCTAATTGAAGAGAGTTGATATTAAAACAAGTAATTAAAGTTTTCGCCAAGATAATCTGAAATACCAGGAGACCAAGTCATATTTTGTCAATGCTAACCGCCTCCGATGCTTAAGATGTTCAATTTTCTTATCAAAGACTACACATGCAATGTATTTTTTTATTAAGTTATAGTGCATACTTAAGACACTCTGAATGAAAATATACTATCATCACAGACATGACATAGTATTTCTTGAGTTTATCTTTTCTTTTGTAGAGCATCTCACGAGCATTGATGTGAGGCTCCAAAGTAAGATGGCAGTGATGGGCTCTTGCCTATAAAACTCTAAAAAGAAAGGTGTCTAAGTTGCCCTTTGGTTTGTTATAACAAGAAGGCGTCTAAGGCAAATTTACAGTTATCATGGACCTTTACCATTAACCTGTACTGTAACAGTTATAATTTGCTAAGGTATCTCAGTCCGAATGTTGAGACCTGATACAGTGATATCCATTTAAACTCTGCAGCGTACACCAAGTTTTGGAGAGGATCCAGTGAAGCAATAATGTTTCTGGTTCGACTGCCACTCGTTGCTGTGCCACCTCGTTTCAGAGCAACAGTGTCCCTGCTGCTACTGCTGCTGCGAAGACTATGTTGCTCTCTTTGCTCCTTTTATGTTGTTATTACGAAGTTTGCTATACTGTTATTATATGTACCTTCTATATAAATCCATCAGAACATGCAGATGGTGGTCACATCCCATTTCAGTTTCATCAGAGCCTTGTCGTCGATTCAGCATTTTGGTTGTTTGTACAAGACAATGATGTTCTTGATTGGCTGCTTGCTGTAGTCGTACCGTGTTCTGGACTTACGTCTGCTGTTATATACTTATATGTACCTTTATATAAATAGGCTTGGTCATTTATATATGTACTATATTCAGCATGGACCAAACGCTGATCTAGAAGTACCGCACGAACTTGAGTTTATTGCTAATCTCTGCACCGTGTGTGACGGATTCTGTGCCTTTTCAGTTTCTAGCAACAGATGTGCCTATCGTCTGGAGCGCTCTATTCTTCCGTGTCCACGGGATCCCGTGGTCTGTAATGCTGGTGTGTGAGGTGAACGAAAGCAAGGGAATCGGGACCGCTACGTGAGCGGCCAGGCGGCAGGCGCCAGTGGTGCGAAGGGGACGAGGAGCACGTTGGCCAGGACCAAAGCGGCACGGACAGCACGGGGTCTTTCATGGACTGCCCGTGGCCCGTGGGCCTTAACATAACCACGGAGCAACCACGATGACTCTAAGATTTTTCAACATTCCCTCAAAAAAAAAAACTAAGATTTTTCAACACGTGTCAAGAAGCTTGTTTATTGAGGATGAACTGGACACGAGTATTGGTGTCCGCTCTCTATCGCTACATCTCCGGAATTCTTCGCCACTCCCTAGAGAGAGTTCGTTTGGCTATCTCAGCTCCCTGAAACTACACTGTGCACTGATGGTGATGGGACTGACCCAGTTTGCAGCCTCGCTTTGTGGTCTTACTGAGTTGTGCCTTTCATCGACTATCTGATGGGCAATGATATCTCAAACCTGCGCAAGTTGATCCACTTGGAGTACCTAAAACTGGTTAAAGTCAGCCTCGGAGGCTTTATCATCAAAAGACGTGATTTTCCACGACTGCTACGCCTAAGCCTTGTGCAGTGTCCAACCCTGCCTACAATTGAAGAAGGAGCTTTAAGGAATCTCGTTTCACTTCAGCTTCTCAACGAAGAACTAGGTGGCTTATCTGGCATTGAAATCAGAAGGCATGAACACCTCCAGGAAGTTGCTCTTGATTCTGACATCAATGAAGAAGCTAAAATGCACTGGGAAGATGCAGCTAAGAACCATCCAAAGAGGCCGAGGGTTTTATTTCTTGAAAGAGTTGATCCGGGTGAAACAGGGTCCATGGTGAAATATGTTGCACCCAAGAGACCAGCACCTGAGACCGGATACTCCGCCATGCAGGAGGAAAGACTGGTCCCTGATGCGGTTCAACAGATTTCTGTTGAAGAACATTGTTCTGCTCTGAAGGATGCAAGTGTTGCAGTCCCCGCTATGGCTTCAAGTAATCTTCCCAGTGCAATGAACAATGTGATAGAATCTTCTTCAAGTATGGTGTCCTGCCTTGTCAAAAAAAGAAAAAGAAGGGTGGTGTCCTGACTCCTGACTCTGTCAGGTGACATTATTCTGGTTAGTTTTTCTGTACCCCCTGCATGTTCTTATGGTTCTGTTTCTGTGCCAACCTAATTGCGCTTCCAATTGCAAAAATATCTATGACATGACAGCGTAAACAGTCCATAGTTTGCAATGACAAACTAAAGTTGCTATTTGACATTTTGACAATACCACACTTGCCTTTGGGTTCACTTTAGGTCTTTTGTACACTTTTTTTTTATGTAACTTGGTCCAAAATCTTCTTGGTGTTCCCTACCCCAATACGTTCTATAGTGACCTATTACAGTTCTGAACTTTATTTTTCTGAGCATTTGAAATTAATTTTCTAAAATAATGCTAATTAACAACGTAACAGGAAGACACAGACCAAGCATAACACAATTGGCATAATTATTTATTGCTTATTAGTAAGGACCTTCTTTACTAATCAATCTGTAATTGTTGCAATTGTCTCGACTGAAAGTACTTGTATCCGAATTTGAGATCTTATATCCATTTTGATTGTGTGCAGCATACAACAAACCACCACGTCTCAAAAAACTTCTAGTGAAACAGAGTTTGTGGGGCGCCATTCATTGCTGAACTTCCACGCTACAACAAGTGCTACCTCGGTTCAGAATAGTAGCGGTCTAGCTTACTTCTGCAGAGGCTGTTTTGCTTCTTTGTGCCGTTTCATTTATGTAATGAGGTTTGTTGTGCTGCATTATGTACCTTTCCAAATAGAAGTGCCTTAGAGTATGGCAGCGACCCCATCAGGTCCAGATTTATCTTCTACGTTGTCGATGATCGTTTATGCCTTCGGCTGCTCTTGCCGTTCTTGTACAGTGTTCTGCTACCTAATAGGATAATGATACGTTGAGGACGTCCGCCCGTCCGGACGGACCTCAACCTACCCGCGCCTACCATCCAGCATGCGTGTCTTGGAAAATATTAGCTACCGCTCCTCTCTCTCGTCCACATGCATGCCTTAGAAAACATCCGCCACCACTCCTCTCTCCCGTGCCTCCCAGCCTCCGCTCTCTCTCGTGTGCCTCACTAGTAGAGAAACGATCTTTGATCCAGCTCGAAATTTGGCTTTAGTCCCAGTATTTTTCGCGTCCGGGACTAGAGAGACCTTTAGTCCCGGGCTTTTGCTGGAGGGGACCTTTAGACCCGGTTGGATCTACCAACCGGGGCTTTCGCTGGAGGGGACCTTTAGTCCCTCCAACGCTACTCCCTCCGCGTCTCTCTCTCTCTCTCTCTCTCTCTCTACGGTGTGTGCGAGCGTCTTGGCGCGGTGGCACAGCGGCCTTGGCACGGCGGAAGCCCGAGCGGCCCTCGACACGGCGGCGCAACGGCGCCGATGGCCCCAGTCACGGGCGGACCAGCGCAGCAGGCTCAGCACGACTGGCTCCACGGCAGATCTAGCTCCCTCTCCTAGTCGTGCGGGCGCTGCCTCACCTTGCCGCGTCGCGCACCCGCCGCCGTCGGCTCGTCGCCTACAAGCATTGCCGGGCCGCTGCCTTTGGTGAATCCACACACCGACGAGCCTCTATTCTCCCAAGCGGCAAGGAGATGTTGCGCTACGCTAAAAATGTATGTTGCAAGCGTATGTTTTAAGTGTTTCAGATGTTTCAGAGGTATGTTGTACGTGCTTCATACGGATGTTGCAAAGTAGATCAGGATGTTGCATATGTTGCAAGTGTTTTAGATGAATATTGCAAGCGTTTGTTCAAAATGTTTAATCTATTTCAGACATATGTTGCAAGCATTTTAATCTAGATGTTTATATGTTTCACACATATGTTGCAAGAGTATGTTCCAAATATTTCTTTTATGTTGCAGCAAGTGTTTTCATGTTGCAAGTTGAAAGTGTTTTATGTGGATGTTGCATATGTTTCAGTGGCTATACACGTATGCAAGTGTATGTTCCAAATGTTTGAGCTATTTTGGACATATATTGCAAGTGTTTACGTTGCAGTGTCTATACACATATGTTGCAAGCTTATGTTTCCAATGTTTCACCTGTTTCATACGTATTTTATAGAAAATGCTTCATGTTGGCCTGTTGCAAGTGTTTTCATTAGCACTCGAGGGAAGGTCCCCGCATGCGGGGGCAGTCCCCACATCCGTGCGCAGTAGCAGGCATGGGCGCGCAGCAGCGCAGGCGCTCAGTAGCAGGACGCGAGTAGCATGCGGAGTATGTGGGCAAGCGTCTGGATGCGAGTAGCAGAGAGAGAGAGAGAGGGAGGGAGCAGTAGGCGCACGCGAGCACCATGCATCCGAGCAGCAGGCGCAGACGCGAGCACCATGCATGCGAAGTATGCGAAGCCAATGCATGCGAAGTACGCGAGCCGCATGCGGGAGAGGCGCGGACATCCAGACGGGTGCTAGCCATGCCCTACCTAATGAACAAACAAAATTTGTCACTTGTTTACTATTTGGCTGGGACTAAAATCTTCTTTATACCAAAAATATTGGACGCACTTGTGTTTGTTGCTAAATCTTTGTCAGTGCATGACACGGATTGTGTGCGTTAGTCGTTGCTAACAATCATGTATGCCAGATCTGGGGATTGGTTCCCTTGTCGAATCCGTCGGATGAGCTGTGTTCATAGTTGTATTTTGGACCTAAAATGGGCCTGTCTATCATAATCAGTGTGGCTTGGGTCACCTAATTTGGCGAAGGCCTGATGATGGAGCTCTCATTTCGTTGGGGTCAGAGAAGTTCAACAGTAAAGAATACGGCCCGGCCCACCCCTCCCGTCATCGAGCACCAATCACACCCGGGGAGCATCGCCGGCGGATCCGCTGCCCGCCGGCGCAGATCCTACACAGCAGGAGGCGGGGTCCATTGCCTTCGATCTCCGGTCGGCTGCCATGGTCCATGGGGCCCCCATATTCCGCGCCTTGCCACCCTCGGTTGGCCGGCTGTGAGTCCTTCGACGCGGTCAAGTCTGGGCGCTCATGGTATCCGGATCTCCAGTCCAGCGGCCTAAGCCGTCTCCGAGTAAGTGCCTTGCTGTAAACTAGTCTCGTATTTGTGCAGGTCCTCTTTCGCAATGCCTATGGATCTTATTGTATCCTCTTACTGCACGTTTGGAATCGGGAGCCGTGGGAAGTGAACTGTTTTTCTGCTAATTTCCTATGAAATTCGTAGGATCGAAGCAGTAGCAGCTCCTCATGAGTGGTTGTGGGCTTGTAGCGAACTCCTGATACCACCAAGAATTTCCTGGAGAAATGGAGATTTTTGCTCTTTACCTAGAAAACTTAGAACACAGTATGAACAAGAACAAAGAGTTTTTTTTTTCTGAAAGTTTTATGCAGAAAAGGCAGCAATAGTAACATTACTGTGCCCCAAATTTATAGGAAAACAAATAGCATTCAACACACATGGTTCTGTAGTTCAACCAAATTCCCAGTTCTCAGTGTTTTCAGAAGCAATCTCAAACATAGTAATGTCAAAACTTCATATTTTAGAGAAAAAATCAACTACTGTCTGCCTCGTGGGCTAGATATAGTCACACCATTAGCACTACATTGCTCTGCAGATGTCGATGCCGATGCCTCTTCCCTTGCCACCCGTACGTGGAAATAGGCTGGGTGGTTAGGTTCTGGAAGCACCATGCTCGCACTGCTAAGCATCGCTACAACATCTGTCATGGCGGGCCTGTCAACTGCATTTTCTTGAACACACAACAACGCATTGTTGATGCATGATGCATCTCATCATCATCTCTAATGCTTGATGGCACTCAACAATTAGTGATGCATCCACAAGTTGAAGCCATCTTCCATCACTCCACAGTTGCCATGCCTACAGAGAAGTGCTCCAATACTCCTTTCCTAAAATTGCGCGGATCTCAAAGCTCCAGATTCCTGACCCTAACCAGATTCCTGTGCTGGAGGTTGGCTATCAGTTGGACTTCGTTTTGGAACTCTCCGAAACCTTGTCCTGAATGTGAAGCAAGTCTCTTAACTGCTATATCCAACCGATCAGAAAACGGACCCTGTCAAAAAAAGGACTATATATGCTTGATCATGCATATATAATTTTGCTGGTGTCAAGCTGCACTAGAAGCAAACTAAATTGCATGGCACATAAGAACAGTCTCAATTTGGAATGGTGCATGAGTTTTAGTTTCTTTCTGTATATGTAATGTATGGCTATGCATTGTCTACCTTGTCTACGGGACAAAAGCCACCTTGCCCAAATTTATTTATAACTGAGAAGCCTTTTGTAGCTTCCAAAATTTGAGAAAAGTCATATATCGTGAAATTTGAATTACTCTCTTCTTTCTCAATTCCTGGTGCACATTCACCCTCAATCTAAGCTTTAAACGCTGTTTCCCTGTATTAACAGTTGTGCAGCGCTATTAGTTCCAAACTTGGAACAAAAAAACTTGACTACATGGAGATTGCGTAAACTGACCTTTTCTTTGCCTTCTGATCCATCCAAAGAATAAGATTGAGCAAATGAGTCCTGCCACTAGAGAAACAACAGTGGCAGTCATCCAACTCAAACAAACCTTGATGAACTTACCTTGACAATCACTCATCATCCATCCATGGATACATGTCCACCATGTCATCTCAAATGCATGAAGCTTTTTTTGCTATAAGAGAAGGGCACGAATAAACATCTCATCTTTCTTATAGTAAAGAAATGAAAGGAAACAGAGGCTCCAGAAGGGCCACAAGTATACATGGGCCGGCAACGTTTGCTAGGAGGATTTTGATCTAAAATGGGCCTACGTTCAGCATGGATTGGCCACCCCGTTTGACAAAGACCAAATGTGATGCGGCCCATTTGCTACGAATAAGGGCCGATCCAGACCCACCCGTTCCGGCAGCCACCAGTCGCGCACGTGGGGTGGGGCCATCTCCGGCGAATCCCCTTCCCACCGTCGCAGATGGCTGCGGTGTCCATTGCCTGTGATCTTCGCTTGCTGTAGTCGATCGGAAGATTCATGGTCCATGATTCCATGAATACCCGATATCTTCTATGGACTCTACCGAGTTTGGGTGCTTGGCATCCGGATCTATCATCGCTCGTCGGTGACGTCTAGCCCTGTTCGTTTAAACTTATTAGTCCAGGTTATCAGACATGGTACAGTATTTTTCTCTCATAACAAATCAGTCGTTCTAAGATCTCGTCGGCTCCAGAGTCTATAGACTCCAGTGCCGTAGAGGCCATCCCCGCGTAAGTGCCTCACTGCGCACAGTGTCTTCTTCAGTTTTTCCTGGCCAAGTGTTATGAAAGTCGTAGGCTGCAGAGAGGATATTTTATTCGTAGCAATTCCTCATTATTGTTTAATTTGTCGCCAACTCTTCATGCTATCGACCGAAAATCACTAGGCGGTGTCTGCGGTATGTAGGCCTTGAAATTGTGGAACGCCGTATACAAAAACAACACAGAGATCACTCTAAATAAGTTGTAGAATAGATGGTGGCGGCATTAAACTTTTTTTTACCTAAATTTCTAGGAAAATAAATGGCATTCAACAGACATTGTAATTCGAGAGATTTGATATTGGACATTACAATTCGCAAGAGTTGTCGCGTACAGACGTAGTCACCTCTCACAAGCACTTTTTAAGGAAAAAAAACTAAGGATCGTGGCTACACATCAGATTCGTGCTCGTCATGGAAGCTACCATTTGCATATGACTGGGGTTTGATGCAATATATACGTGAGTTGCATGTCACAATTCAGCACCAATTGATGCACAGATCCCAAAAACTTTAGTACAGCCAGATAATAAAAAAAATGCATCTTAGCTTGCAAACAAGACTGAGTATCAGGTGCACAAGAGTATACTATATATAGTAACCATATGCAAAACATTAACCTCACCTATCGAATCCAATCTAAATAGCCAAAGTGATTTAGAATTTAATCATCCCCATCCTTAATTTTTACATATTAATTTTGTTCTGGCTTCAAACTTAATCAACAAAGAGGCATCAAAACACGATTATTACAATAATGACTTAAGATCAAAGCAAAAAAAAAGTTCAACATTATTAACCAATACGAATCGTAAATGACCATCCATGAGACATGAAGAATTGCATGGCTCTTGACTCTAGAAGTTAACACGCTTTAAGGACAAACATTCCTTATACTGTTATTAGTATGGTATATAAGAGAGCACAAGACCGAAACCAGTGCATCTTGTTGAATAGAACCTGCAAAAGAAGATTTTGTACATAAAATCATTTATTTTTTTTGACCGAAGTCAGTAGGGGAAACCCCAATCTATTTTTTTGTATTTTTTATTTCAGACTTGTTATATTTGCTCCCACGGGGAGTCGAACCTAGGCCTGCTAGATGCTACTGAGGTGCTCTAACCACTAGATGCTACATAAAATCATTTATTGTGTGCCAAATTGTCCAGGAGCTGATGTACGTGGACAAGGTGTACACCACACACTATAGAGATTTGGCATAATGGAATTCAAGGAAAAGATACCACAAATAGTTTGTAATTTACTACAAAATTGGCAAATTTTACTATCGTTTCAATTCTGCCTAACTAGGCTGATCTTAGAGCATCTGCAAGAGTTTGGCATATTTTATTCCCCAAAACATGTGTTTGCCAACTCCCAAATAATTATGGGGAGGGAAAAAAAGGCCATCTCTAATAGTACACCATAATTGACTTTCAAAATATTAGATTTGTGGACCCAAACGCGAAATCCTTCGGCGCCGCCTCCTTCATGCTCGTGCGCGCCGATCCCTTGCAGGTCTCAGGTGGCGACGGCCAGCTTCCCGGCCATCAGCACAGTAGCATGCAGCCGGCTATCAGGCAAGCAGGCTCACCACGCGGCCAGTAGCTGCTTCACCGTGCGCCAGCAAACAGTACCATGCAAGCAGTAGAGCAGCCGGCCAAGAGCATTACTTCAATACACATATACACGGAGGAACTATCGTCGGAGTTCATCGCGACCGACGGCAATCCAGGCACCGCGAGCGAGCACAGCACTACGAGCGAGCACAGCACTACGAGGGAGCCCTTCCCCATACATGTTTTTTGAGAAAAAAAGAGAAAAACTCATCTCCAAGAGTACCCCATGTCCCTTCCCCATCTTTTGGCAATTGGCAAACAGACTGGCATCGTGCGTAAAAATGCGCGCAACCTTTCTCTCACGCATCGCTCTTCCCCGCGCCGTCTCCTTGTTCCTGCGCGACACCGCGACTCTTTCCTGCGCCTCCTTTCCTTCGCGCCATCGCTCAGGAGCCGTCCAGGGCAAAGGTTCTTCCACGCCGCCGACCTAGGGTTCAGGTATGCCATGGATCTACTCGTCCTCTCCATGTCTACTTTTGTTTTACCGGTTGCTAGGGTTTCCAGCCTTCCATAGCCGTCGCCTAGAGTCCATGGCCGTCGCTGGCAACGGCAGCAGCAGGCACAGCTGCGCGCAGCCGCCTCCTGCAGGGGAAGGCCCGTCCGTAGCCGCGTTTGGGCTTACGCAGATGGATGGCTCGGCAGGGAACGGGGTAGGAGTACGTGCATATCAATCGTCCCTGCGTGCTTATACTAGTAGTATACGTTCACGTACCTCGCTGCCAAACGCTACGAGAGGGAGCTGAAGGCTGGATGGGGCGGGTGCCTGGCTGCCAAAGGCTGGCACTGCAGGCTAGGAGAGGGACCTACAGGCTGGAGGGGTCGGGTCCCTGGCTGCTGCCGGCTGGGAATCGCAGGCGACGGACACGACGTGCAAATCGGCGGCGGCGCGAAGGGTTTCGCGGTGCCGCGAGAGAGATCGTGCGAAAAAAAGAAACCGCCAAAAAAAATCACTGTGGGTCCACAATTTTGATATTTTGGAAGTCAAATATGGGGTACTTTTGGAGATGGTCTCTTTTTTTTCTCCCCATACTACTTTGGGAGTTGGCAAAAAAACATGGATGGGGAACAAAATTTGGGGTACTCTTGGAGCTCTTTCAAAAGCCACATTATTTTTTTAAGAGTATTCTGAATGATAATTTTTTGTGCAACCTTCATTCCATTATTCACAAGAAAACCATATATTGACTTGAGTGTGAATTTCCCATATTTTTGTAAATGCGCACAAAAGGGTCCAAGCCATTATTTAGATTAATAAGATGAGTTTGTTTGCCACTAATACTCTAATAAAAAAGACAAAGGCTCCGTAATGGCCACTCCCACTACTACTGCTGTATGCTTTTGAACAATATTAATGCCTTGCTTTGTACTTCGCCTCTAGGTCCTCTAGGCACTATAGCAAGGAGCTGTTTCATCTCTCTTCTCAAAATGAACTAGGATTTCAGGCAAATCCACTATTTATGGTTTCGCTGGCTTGGGCTCATTCGTGCCAAAGACCTGGAGCCACTTAGAGCCATGCTAAATGGAGTCTAAACAAAGAAAGGTATTGCAAATGTAGAGCAAGGGTGTCTAACCATTTATGTTTCAAAAATGTTTCATGCTATCCACTTAAATTAAAGTGCCATAGGTAATAGGTTTAGGAATTGATCCTTCACCCCATAAGGGCTTGTTTAGTTAGTCTTCATCCAAGGGATTTGGAGGGGAGAGTTCAATCTCCTACAAGTCAAAATCCCCCTCAACCGCCTTCAATTCCTCCAACCCCCTCGGATTGGATGCTAACCGAACAAGCCCTAAGGCTTGACAAAAAAAGTGTGAATCTCTTGCTTACTTGGTTTAAAGTATTATTATATTTTTGAGATATCCAAGTAAATCCTGCCATACGCCTGACAAGGCATTATGTTAAGAATGAAACGAGAACTTCCCATCCATCCTCCTCCACTTGGGCAACTCAAATTAGCTCTACAGAGATAAGTTTGAGTTATGCATGCATATAAGTACTACTCACACTATGCTTATATATGTGTTTTTTTGGGAATACAGTATATCTATTGTGCAGTTGAAAATGAAGGGGTGGAGCTGGTTTGAAGAAAATTAAGAACGTGCAACAAATTTTGGGTGCCAAGTAGCCTTGTGCAGGACTAGAAAGACGTAGGAAAATGAAATTCGGTAATTTCGGTGGTGGCCGAAAGAAAACTCCGAAATTTTTTAATACACTAATACATGTGCTATATAACTCTAATCTTATATTTTTCTATTGTTTATATTGTATATTCTTCTATTTAATAGATATGTAGTCATAAATCATACTAATATTTGTTTAGATCCAAAATTTTTTTAGAAAAAACATACTTCATGTGCTAATCTCTAAAATAAATTCGGCGAAATTTCGACCGAATTTCGCGAAATTCGGTAATTTCGGTGGTGGCCGAAATTTTGGCGATACCGAAATTAAAAACCTTGTCTCTGACTCTTGACTCTGTTAGCTACAATTGACTGGCAATAATGTTGTTGATGGCAGGCTGCAAGTCCGCTCGCGCCTGCGCCGCCAAACGTGCTGCATTTTCCAATTGCCGGAGCACAGAGGTAAGAAAAAGATATATACAAGCCACAAAATATATCACTTGAGAAGATCATTAGTTGAGCCTTCAGATACTCACCACGAAGCAGCGAAATGTTGTCAGTTGCGTGGCCATCGAATCTGACCGCGTTGGTGTCTTGGAGGTCGTGGCGGTGCTCGTACGTACGCTTCCAAAATTAGCTGCAGCACCAACGTCTACACGTGACAGCGAATGTAAGAAAAATGTTGTCACCTCTGGCGATATGACGATCATGGTACCATCTGGTCCCAGTTGAGCTGCTGCAATGGGCCCTAAGTGCCACCGATCTCGACCTTAACGGGGTCCAAGACAGAGTTCACGTAGATGGTGCCGCCACCCGCTGTGTACACGTACACCTTGTCGCCGGGGCCGCAGGCCCTCGCGTGCTTGGTCGTCGCCTCCCACATAGGATCGTTCATGCCGTCGCCAAGAATCTGATCCCGTAAAACAGAGCGTTCAAAACAAGCACGGCAAGAGTTCGTGAAATGCACCCCTCAAGAATGGAAACTTACTGCACGCAGCTCGTCAGGTTTGACTATTAGCATCCATAGGAATTCCTGAAGAATCCGAGTCGCCAAGGGAGGGAGGGCAGCGCGTCTCCAGCTAGATGAGGTTGTCGCGGTGCATGTACGCCTCCAGAATTAGCAGCCGCACCAACTTCTGCACGAGACAGCAGATGTAATGTAAGAAAAAAAACATACTCTCCTCGGCCGTTCTGATGTCCAGCTCAAGAAGACATATGATGGATCCATTCACCGTCTGGTCCGTGTTCAGCTGCTCCAGGGGGCACTCAGTGCCGCCGATCTCGACCTTAACGAGGTTGAAGACGGAGTTCACGTAGATAGTGCTGCCCGCCGAGCTGTAGACGTACACCTTTTTGCCAGGGTTGCAGGTCTTGGGCCTCGTTTGCTTCGCTGAAAAAATAAGCTAAAATACTGTTCCGGTTAATTTGTTGTGAGAGAAAAATAATGTTCCGATTGAAAAAATAAGCTGAAAAGCACGGATTATAAAACAAGCGAACAGGACCTTGGCGTGCTTGGTCATCGCCTCCCACACACGGTCGGTCATGCCGCCCAGAATCTGGTCACACAAAACAGAGCAGTCAAAACCAGCACAGAACGGCGAGTGTTGGTGAAGTTTTTCCCTGACCGCTCGCAGCTCGTCAGGCTTGACCATTAGCATCCTTACAAAATCCTGAACAGTCTCGATATTGTTAATCTTCAGATTACTGTGGAACGTGCCTTCCTTGCTGATGTTCTTCCTGGCACGACGCGCACCCCGACGCGGAACTTGCGGGAGCTGACCCAGGACGAGCTGTCTGTGAACTGGAGCTCACCCACCGTTGCGTGCCCGTTCCTCAGGATGGCTTTCTCGAACTCTTCTGCAGTCCAGTCCTCGCGGTGGTGGTACCCTTGAAAGTCCCCTACACGCGGTACAAGCTCGATGCTCAGCGGCGACGGGAGCGCTGACGCCGAGTCGTTGTCCGGATCCACTAGGATGACCTTCAGCAGTTTCCCGTTGTCGTCCTCGATCTTTGAGCCGGTGTAGATGGAGAGCCGTGGTGAGATCTGGAACGCCAGCTTCCACCTAGGCACTTGCCCACGTTCATTTGAGGAATCTTCTTCTCCCTGTTGGTTCCAATCTTCGTCAACTGGATCGACCCTTTTCACCTGCTCCAAGCTTGGGTAACATGGATGCTTTCTAATTGCATCCTTGAACGCAGACTCTGCAGCTATCCTGTCAGATTCCTCAGCATCAGTGACTAACCCAATGCTTCCAGCAACTTTCTGGAGGCCTAGCAGGTGGCTGATGCCCACAAGCATGTTGCTGTAGTGCTCCCCTTTGTGGGCGTTGAACACTAGCTTGAGCTTCCGAAGATTGGGCAAGGATTCATCATGAAAGCCCAGCAATAGCACACCACACACAAACTTGAAATACTCGAGAGCCGGGAACATTCCTGTGCTCAAGATTATCACTGCAGTGGGTGGTGTTCGGACATACAAGGACAGATGTTTAATCACCGGTAACTCTGCGAGGACATCAATGTTGTTCAACAATTTTCTGACCACAATTTCCAAAATTCGAAGTTTGTGCAGCTGAACAAACCACTGGGTCAGTCTTGAAAAGATGCAAATGGGATGCAGCAACTCAAAGCTCTCATGGGAGATGGAAGGGGACGGCAACCTGCTCCAGTCAAATTCAAATGAGGAAAAAAACTTGATTGAAGCAATTTGACCCGGAGTTCGGTTGGTCTTCTCTCCAAGACGAACCTGCCGCAATCTTGAAAGATGGACAATATCCGATGGAACATAATCTACCCCTGCATTTATTTCTAGTGTTTCCATGTGTTTTAGACACTGCATCTTGTTTGGCAATTCCACAGTGACGTTGCACCTGACCTGCAAATATCTTAGCTGGAGCAGGTGACATATTTCTGAAAGTGAAAACGGGGAGTCCACGTCGTCACTAAAGATATGGAGGACCATGACTCGAACAAGCTTAAACTCTGCAATCGAAGGCATGCAACCTAAGAGTCCAATAAAAGAGAGTGAGCGAACTTGTGACAATTCCACACTTTCGGGTGTAGTAGCATATGCTGCACTGCCAAAGTGGAGTGACAATCGACGAACCTTCTCAGTGAGAACTACTGTCGACTGAGAATAATCTATGATGGTGACGAAATTGTCTTCCATGGATTTGGATGTGATAAAATCAAATACCATAGGGTGCACTGTGTAGGACAACAAACCTTTCTTGTTAGAGTTAACAATATCCATTTGCTGGATCAGGCCTAAACTTAGGAGCTCGTCAAAATAACTGCCGGCAACATCTACAATGTCCTTCGCTTCTGGTGTACATATGAAATCTTCAGCTATCCATTGCTTCACCAAATCTTCTTTCAGAAATAAGTAGTTCTCTGGATACACACTAAGATACAGCAGACATGTTTTCAGACAATGAGGAAGACTACTGTAACACAGCTTCAGTACTTGGTTCAGGATCTCCATAGAAGATGAGTGTGTTCTCAAATTGTTTGGTAGAAACTTGTTTACGTAATCCAATTGCTGCTCCTGTTCTGTTTCTGGTTGGCTTGCCACAATTCTAGCCGTGCAGATTATGGCTAGGGGAAAACCGCCACATTTTCTAGTGATCTCATCGGTGGCATCATTGAACTGTGGTGGACATCCTTTTTCAGGTCCAAAAGCTCTATCAACGAATAATTTCTTGGCTTCATCACCAAAGAGACATTTGACTTTGACAATGCTATTACTGTCATAACTGCAGCAAGAATTGGGCAACGTTTTCAACTGATGTTGTTGTTATTATTCTTTGGTTACCGGCTGGAAAGGCCCGCTTAATAATGTGCCAAACTGACACATCCCATAACCCATCAATTACAATAAAATACCTGGTAACAAAATCTGTACATGTCACATGCTTCATCATAGCAACAATCATATAATTTTAGCAGCCAACATTTTAAATCCAAGACAAATATGTTCTAATAATCTCAGTTATGAATGTATGTCATTTAATTGTAGCAGCCAAAATTTTAATCCAAGACAAATATGTTCTAATAATCTCAGTAATGAATGTCTTTCATAAAACTGTAGCAGCCAAAATTTTAAATCGAAGACAAATATTATTGAAACTGCTTTAGAATTTTCTAATTCAAATCTCATTGCATATTTTTAACATCTTAGTTTTATTGGGTACATACAGATACTTAGATAACCGTGAAAATTTAGTGCATGGAAAGATTGATTATCGCATTGTATAAAATTTCGGGCTGGTGTTTGGGTGACACAAATATTGTGATTTATAAATTTAATGATGCCAAATAGCATGACATGTTTAGACACCTCTATGCAATTTTCGTTGCCAAAATATTTTACAATGTGTGCAAACTATTAATTGTAATTGGTATGTCACCCAAAAAGGAAACAACTTCCATAATTGTTAAACCGTTAATACTATACGCTCAACTATATATACATGATCTACACATTGTGTGACATGCAATGCATGTATACCTTGAGTTTGTTTTTTAATATACTAGTAAAGGTATAAGTGAGGAATTCATAAGTATAATAATATGCATATAGCATAGAGGTACTTTGTTTTTTTTCCGAAACCGCAGAGGTGGATAACTTAGAAGCAGATCTAGGGGGTTTGTTTTTATGTTATTTTAATAGTATATGAAAGAAATTATGGAATACGCATGAAAGAGATTGTGGAATGAAGGATAGTATTCCATATTGTGAATGAGGTATATATATAGGCAGCTGGGGTGGCATGCAAGTACAGGTCGACCATTGCTATATTTACATCATGCTAACACTCCCGCGCAGTCTTATCGGGAGCACGGCGAACATTAAGACTGGATCGAAACTCCTGAACTACAGATGTTGGGAGACCCTGGGTGAAGACGTCGTCAGCGTACTGGGATGCCGTCGGGACTTGGAGAACCCAAACCTGACTGAGGGCGACACACTCCCGAACAAAGTGGAGATCAATCTCAACATGCTTCGTGCGCTGATGCTGGACTGGATTGGTGGAGAGGTAGACAACAGTGACGTTGTCACAATAAACCAGGGTGGCACGGCGACGGTGGTGGTGAAGCTCGGCAAGTAACTGGCGAAGCCATGAAGCTTCAGCGATACCGTTGGCCCTCTGCGCTAGACCGGGAGACTGTGTGCTGACGTTTGGAAGACCAGGTGACGAGATCCTAACATATGGGTATGTTAAGCCTCGAGATCAATGGTTCCCGACCAAAGAGACCCATCGACCGACCCCTCCAGGATCGCCCGGGGGCTCGAGGGCTATACACACGGGTACACTCGCGTGCACCCTCAGACCAAGAAACCCGGTTGAGCCTGAGCACGCCGCGGCCTCTGCTTAAGGCTCGGGGGCTCCCCCGAGCATCAGGCTCCCGATCGACAACACGCCTGATCCCGATCCTTGGCTTTTGCCCGGCCTATGATGCCAGCCAAGGCCCGGGCGCTGGGGGGTCCCCGACTCTGCACTTTGGGCGCGGTGCTGCTAGCCGCTCCCCCGACAGGGTCACACACGAGGCGTGACACAATAAGACAAGTTCTCCTCAGCCTCCGGGGGCTCGGGGGCTTCCAGGCCCACGCGTTAGCCCCTCGAGCCGGCCTCCCTCGCCACCAAGAAGGCTCCAGAAGGTGCGCCTGGGGAGGCCGGTCAAAGCCGACACAGCTTGACACTCAGTGTGTCAGAACAGGCCAGCCGGACGACACCTAGGACTTCTTCGGCTCCACGACACCGCCATGGTCCACAAAGCACCGCTGCAAGACCCTCCTGGAGTCCGGCGCATGTAGACCATGGACTCAACCCCCCAAACCGCAATGTACCCGACCTATCTCGATATATAAGGGATAAGGTCAGATCCTAGAGGGGGGAGGACAATCCAAGACGGATCATTTCATTCCTTATCGATCCGCTCCTGCTCGGGACGTAGAGCAGGGCAACCCTGAGAGGGGCACCGAGAGCTCCTCCACCGCACCCATCGTCTTCCTCCTCTCCGACGAGGGGAAGGCTCCACCGGTGGTGAGGCAACCCCAGAATTAGCACCGAGCTAACCTCCTACCAAATCTCTCTCTACCTCCTATACACTCTGTTCTATCCCCCGATTTTGGGTGCTCTTGAGTATAAGGATCATCAGCTGCTGGACGTAGGGCATCGATTGGCCCAAACTAGGATAAACTGTTGCGTCCTATCTGTGATTCCTGTGTTCATGAGTCCACCTGAGCCACCGAAGACATGTACTCTGACACCGATTCGAACAACAATGCTTGCCACGGTTCCGACCCCGCAACACCAGGACACCAGATTGTCACCGAGGAACACCGCGTAGCCAAAGGTCGAGCGGCGAGTGTTAGGGGAACCAGCCCAGTCCGCATCAGTGTAAACAACATGGTCGGTAGGCGGAGAGCGATGTTGAGTCAAGCTAATGGATAGACTACCCTGTAAGTACCGTAGTATCCGTTTGAGAGCAGCAAGGTGCGCCTCGCGTGGATCATGCATGTAGAGGCATATTTGCTGGACAGCATAGGCAATATCCAGACAAGTAAAAGTCAGATATTGTAGTGCACCAGCCAAACTGCGATACTGAGTAGAGTCAGCAACCGGAGGACAGTCGGCGGACAACTTCGAGTGCAGGTCAATGGGGTACTGCTGGGCTTGCAAGCACTCATCCCGGCGCGCTCCAAGATGTCGAGAGTGTACTGCTGCTGAGAGAGAAAAAGGCCATCATCGCAGTGGCTGACGGAGACACCAAGGAACTGATGAAGTTGTCATGTGTCAGTCATAGCAAACTCACGCAGAAGGGCTGCAATAATGTGTTGAAGAAACCCAACTGACGAGGTGGTGAGAACAATGTCATCAACATAGAGCAGCAGATACGCAGTGTCTGATCCCCGATGATATGTGAACAGTGAAGTATCTGACTTGGCCTCAACAAAACCAAGGGACAGGAGATGGGAGGCAAACATGGTATGCCAAGCACGGGGAGCCTGCTTCAGACCATAAAGAGACTTGTTAAGCCGACAAACATAATCAGGACGGGATGAATCAACAAATCCAGAAGGCTGCACGTAGTAGACTGTCTCCGTCAGAGTGCCATGCAAGAATGCATTTTTGACATCCAGCTGATGAATATGCCAATTTTTAGACAATGCCAAGGATACAACCACCCGAACTGTTGCTAGCTTCACTACAGGACTAAAAGTCTCATCATAATCAATACCGGGCCACTGTGTGATTCCCCGCAGAACCCAGCGAGCCTTATAGCGATCAAGTGAACCATTAGCAAGAAGTTTGTGGCGATAGATCCATTTACCGGTGACCAGATTTACATTGGGAGGTCGGGGAACAAGGCACCATGTGTCATTGGTGATTAGTGCATCAAACTCAACTTGCATAGCGGAGCGCCAATTAGGGTCTGACAGAGCGTCGCGGATGGAGCGAGGCAATGGTGACATGGGCACAGCATGGAGATTCAGACGATCCATAGGCTGAGCGATGCCAGCCTTGCCATGCGTGCACATTGGATGCGCGTTGTCGATTGGCGGGATGACGACCGGCCGGGTGGAGGCGGTGCGGCCGGTGCCACTGGCAGCAACCTAGGTGCGAGCCGCAGGGGCAGCGGTACCGGCAGCACGGGGTGGCGCCGTCGAGGACGAGGCATGGTCGTTCGTGATAGGAACCACGACTTGCGGCAAGGTGGTGGTGGCACGGTTAGTTCTGCTGGCAGCAACCCGGGACAAAGTGTCTGCAGGGGCAGCAGAACTGGATGCAGTGGGGGTGCCCGAGGAGCCAGCACCTGGCGTGATGGCTAAGCCCGGGCAAAGCAGAGCTCGATGGCGGGCGAGCGCTGCATGGGCGCAGAAGCAGGAGAGGTAGGCACGGGTCGGTGGGAGTTAGGCGCTGGCGTAGGTGAGGGGACACCAGGTGCTGGCGCGTGGGCACTATGCACAGTACGAGCTGGTGCGCCAGAAGCAGCAGTGGAGGAACCTGCAACCACAGCACTAGGCCCAACGGGCACAGTGGAAACATCAGCATCATCCAAAAATTCCAAGCTGGTAGGGTCCAATGGCGAGGTCGACATCTCGGTGAAGGGAAATAGGGATTCATTAAATATGACATGATGATAAATAATGATCCATTTGGAATGAAGATCAAGACATCGATACCCCTTGTGGTGTGAGGAGTAGCCAAGGAAGACACACGTGGATGAACAAGATGATAGTTTATGGGGAACTGTGGAAGACAGGTTTGGGTAGCAAGCACATCCAAAAACAAGAAGGTGTGTATAAGATGGATGAGTACCGAAAAGAGCAAAGAATGGCGTGAGGCCGCCTAAGGTCTTAGTGGGATGACGATTGAAAAGATATGTGGCAATGTGGAGGGTGTCAGCCCAATAGACAGGTGGAACGCTACCTTGAAAGAGCAGAGTGCGAAGAATGTTGTTGATGGTGCGAAGGGCGCGCTCTGCTTTATCGTTTTGTTGAGAGGAGTAGGGGCACGACATACGGATGACTGCACCCTGGGTGAGAAAGAACGTGCGGGCCGATGAGTGATCGAACTCGTGGCCATTGTCGCACTGGACGGCCTTGACAGGGGAGCCAAACTGTATGCGCAAGTTAAAAAAGTGGCAAAAGTGTCAGACTTAAGGCGAAGCGGAAATGTCCAAACATAGTGAGTACAATCATCATGTTGACACAAAATGTGACGCACTGTGCCTCACACACAGCAAGCCGGAAAGCGTGGCTTCAATCGGGTTCCCGGATGCTTCGTGATCCGGAAGCGTGCCAGTCAGTTTGACCTGAAAGAACTAACAAGGGATAAAACAGTTAAATGCCAAACCGGAACATGTCAGGTGAGACCAGACAGTTCCATATATACGGCCCTGAAGCCACTTA